GTTCCGTCTCGCATTATCCCAACGGATCAGAGATCAGTTGGCCTACGTAAATCCCAGGGACAAGAACACCCTAGAAGGAATGATTTCGCAGGCTCTTATTATCGGAGCAAACTTTGAGGAACTGGACGATGAGAAAAAGAAGACCTGGCAACCACCACGTCGCCCATGGGTTGAAAGAGGCCCTCTCAAACCAGTTTCTCAAGGAGGAGATGCAATGGACGTAGATGCATCCAAGACACGAGGTGGACCCCAACCTCAAGGCAAATCGGGAGACACTTTCAAGTGTTATCGTTGTGGAAAACCCGGGCACATGGCTCGTAATTGCACAGGACAGCCGATGGATACCAAAGGCAAGAAACCCGCTATCAAGGCGGTAAAGGAAGAAGAAGAACCAGCGGTGAAGCCAATCACGCTGGAAGATATCCAACGCATCGTGAACGAGAGGATTTTTATGACTTCTTCAGATGAGGCATTGAAAAAACAGGGTTTTTAGGAGGGTCGAAGTTGACTGCGAACTTAGACCAGAACAATCGTTTTTCCATTCTTAGTGATTCGGCAATCATGTTTACAGAAGTATCAGAAGTTTGTTCTGGGAATAAACGAGATCATTTTTACCTGCCAATCACGTTGAAAGGAAAAAACAAAAAAGCAGAATTGGAAGCTCTAGTAGACTGCGGAGCAACAAACTTATTCTTAAGTCAAAAATTCGTGGACAAGAATGGGGTCAAAACCAAGCAATTACTACGAGCACTGCCCGTCCGCAATATCGATGGAACTAAAAACTCCGCCGGACCAATCAAAAGCTACGCAGATTTGACTCTAAAGATAGGAGACCACGAAGAAGAAGTAGCCTTTCTGATCACAGATCTAGGAACCGATGATGTCATCATTGGCGTAGATTGGCTACGATATCATAATCCAAACATAGACTGGAATGCAGGGAAAATGACGTTGAACCGCTGCCCAGTCAAATGCGAGGATGCCAAGGTCGAAAGAAGAAGGACCAAGGCAAAAAGGCAGAAGAGTACATTACCTGCCTTATTACCCATGGAAGAAGATGACGATGAGATTTCCATGGAAACTTCGATTCCTGCAGCCAAAGTACAGTTTTCAAATACTCCTAAGAAAGTAGAGATAGAGGAGATTGAAGACGAAGATTCACCAAGAAACGTGTGGATCAAGTACAAAAGCTCAGTGGCTTCGGAGTTAGCTCAAAAGGAGGAAAAGAAGAAGGAAAAGAAGTCCGTAGAAGAGATGGTCCCAGAATGGCTCCACGACTATCTCAAGGTCTTCTCTGAAGAAGAATCTACTAGATTCCCTGAATCTAAGAAGTGGGATCATAAGGTAGACTTCAAGGATCCTAATGACCTTCCTCCAAATTCGAAAGCATATCCCCTTTCGCCCGCAGAACATGACGCATGTGAAAAGTGGCTCAAACAAGAATATGAATTAGGACGACTGCGAGATTCAGAATCTCCAGTGGCAGCTCCCTTTTTCTTTGTTGCCAAAAAAGACGGAAAACTTAGACCCGTCATGGACTATCGGAGGTTAAATGAAAAAACCGTACGAAACGCATACCCTCTTCCCCGATCGCAAGACCTCATTGATTCTCTTACCGGTGCAAGCCTCTTTTCGAAAATGGACGTTCGATGGGGATACAATAATATTAGAATGCGAAAGGGAGATGAATGGAAGGCAGCCTTCAAAACTCCTTTCGGACACCATGAACCAGTAGTTATGTACTTCGGAATGACGAACTCTCCTGCCACTTTCCAAACCATGATGGACCAGATTTTCCAGGATCTAAAGGAAGGAAAAGTCGTTGTAGTCTATATCGATGACATCCTGGTTTTCACGAATGGTACTATAGAGGAACACAGGAAGGTGGTACGCGAAGTATTAAAAAGACTTCAGGACAATGATCTTTATCTCAAACCCGAGAAGTGTTCATTCGAGAAAAAAGAAGTGGAATTTCTCGGACTAATCATCAAAGATGGACATGTTTCTATGGATCCAGTCAAGGTTAAAGGAGTACAAGAATGGCCCACTCCTACCTGTGTCAAAGACATCCAACGATTCATGGGATTCGCGAACTTTTACCGTCGTTTCATTCTCGGATTCTCGAACATTGCCAAACCCATGAATGATCTCATCAGGAAGGATGTACCATGGAAATGGACGGACAAACAAGAGAAGGCTTTCCAAACCCTTAAAGACAATTTCACATCCGCACCAGTATTAGTAATGCCAGATGCCACAAAACAAAAAAAAATCGAAACAGATGCATCTGACTATGCTACGGGTGGCGTATTGTCTCAGAGGGAAGACGATGGACTATGGCACCCTGTTGCCTTCTTCAGTAAAACTATGCAAGACGCAGAGCGCAATTATGATATTCACGACAAGGAACTATTAGCTATTATTCGCGCTCTGGAAGAGTGGAGGCATTATGTGCAAGGAGCACCAGACCCAGTGGAGATATGGACGGATCATAAAAACCTTGAATACTTCATGACAAGTCAGAAGTTAACTCGCAGACAAGCGAGATGGTCCTTATTTCTTGCAGAGTATGAATTCACACTGCACCACAAACCAGGGAGGGTCAACGACACTGCCGACGCTCTGTCCAGGAGGCCAGATCACAAAAAGGGGGTAGAAAATGACAATTCGGATTGCGTGCTTTTGAAACCCGAATTTTTCCAAATAAAAGCCGCAAAAAGGGGTCAAATTCTGATACAGGGGGAGCAAACGTTGCTTAGACAAATCAGAAACTGCACAGATCTAGATCCGGAAGTTCGAAACGCTATCGAAACCCTTAAGAAAGCCCCAGTACAGCTGCGAAAAGGACTAGAGGAGTGGAATACAGAAGATGGACTTATTCTTTTCAGAGGATTGGTTTATGTACCCAATAACAAAGACATTCGCCGCTCGATACTGGAAATCTTTCACGATACACCAGCAGCAGGCCATATGGGACGTGCTAAGACTCTCGAACTCGTTTCTCGTAACTATTGGTGGCCGCAGATGCAGAAATGGGTCAATGACTATGTAGACGGATGCAACAGGTGCAAGCAAACGAAGGTGTTACCATCTAAACCCCATGGTCCCTTAAAACCTAATGAAATTCCCGAAGGTCCATGGCAAGCAGTTAGCTGTGACCTGATTACCGATCTCCCAAAATCAGAAGGCAAAGACAGCATTCTCGTAGTAGTCGATCGATTTACCAAACAAGCTCATCTTGCACCAACCACCAAGGACGTTACTTCGAAAGGAATCGCGGACTTATTTCTCAAATACGTATGGAAATTGCATGGAACACCAAAAAAGGTGATTTCCGATCGTGGGACTCAATTCGTGTCCAAGTTCATGCAGGAAGTCTCAAAAAGACTGGGAATCAAATGGTCCATGTCGACTGCATATCATCCGCAAACAGACGGACAGACAGAGCGAGTAAACCAAGAAGTGGAACAATATCTTCGAGCGTTTACGTCTTATCGTCAGAACGACTGGGTATCATGGCTTCCCATTGCAGAATTCACGCATAACAACTCTATTACGGTAACCGGACATTCCCCCTTCAAATGCCTCTACGGTTACAACCCCGAATTCATCATTTCCCCTAACTCTTCCAACACCGTTCCATTAGCCGATCAGAGAGTAACAGAAATGAAGGAGGCACAAGAAGAAGCGAAGGCAACACTAGAAATCGCCAATGATCGGATGAAACGCTTCTACGATAGAGGAGTAAAAGACGCACCAGTTTTTGAAGTAGGACAAAGGGTTTGGCTAGATGCTAAAAACATCAAACAACGACGACCGAGTCAGAAGTTGTCGGATCGCCGCCTTGGTCCCTTTGAAATACTCGAACGAATAGGCGAACTGAACTACAAGTTGAAATTACCGGAATCCTATCAAATCCACCCGGTTTTCCATGTAGAATTACTCACCGCTCATAAAACCTCGTCGTTAACAACTCGCATTGCACCAGAACGTCCACCCCCTGAAATCGTGGAAGGCATGCAAGAATACGAATTAGAAGCAGTGATAGCCAGCAGAGTGCGACGAAACCGATTGCAATTCTTATCAAAGTGGAAAGGATATCCATTAGAAGAAGCGACATGGGAAAACGAAGAAAACCTGAAAAATTCTCCAAGATTAGTCAGCGAGTTTTACGCGGCAAATCCCGATGCACCCAAATCGCGTCGAATTGCAAGCGCAATCATCCCAGTCTTACAAACTCCTGATTTCTTGGAATGGAGACAAAAAAATATCCGACCATCCTATGTTCGCGAGGACGCTCACCTTAACAGGGGGGTAATGTCACGAATTCCCAATACGAATCATTTTTCTTTCCTCGGTTTTCCTTCGGCTATGCCCCATACCCAAACCAATCACGTGACACCATTACCTTTCACATTATCACATCATCACCATGTCACAACTTCACCTTTTCACATTTCACCAATCACATCTCCGATCGGATCTCCTACACCGAGGGCTAGAACCATATGTCTTCCTATCACTTAATCTCCGTCTCTGACATCATTGCTTATATATCGCGACGTCATCCTACGTCATGCGCAGTATCGTACGACTCTTTTCTCATTGGTTGATTATTTACAGACTCAGATATCTCCGACCCAATGTTATGTATATAGGTAGGATAGTTAGCGTAGTTTCTCTTTAGACTTAACCTCTTCGTTCCTACCTTGTGTAGACAGAGACGTTCACTCTAAATCTCATCCTTGCTCTCAAACTTGACGAGTCCTAGTGGTTGTGTGAAACCTTTACCAATCGGTGAACGTTGATCATAACAACTGATCAGTGGCAGTTTTTCCACTAGCCGAGAATAACTGTTTGCATGGAACAGATGAAGCTGGGATAGTGCACACATCCATTGCGATTCATCCAAGGATCAGGTAAGTAGAAATGTGTTTCTAATGAAATGAATTAATATGCTAAGACATGCATAATTGAAAACAACTTACTGACCATCAGTTAACAACATCAGTGTCTTTCGACACATCATCTGGAACATCACTGAGATAACGGCGAAGCTCAGCATGCCAGTCTGCATGATGATCACAGGACGCCTGTTCCACCAGTGTACGATGGTGACGATCAAACTCAGATTCGATAATGTGGGAGTTGGACTTGGCTGCTGTGATGATGGTATGGGCAAGTGCCTTGGGTCCATGCTTCGCATATTCTGTCATAGTCGACTCAACTACTTTCAGGGCCTCATTGTACCAATCAACAGCATTCAGATTCCCCACAGCACACTCCACTGCCTGCTCTTCAGGACCGCCCCACTGCATTGTAATGTATGCAAGCTTGTAGTATGGGTGGAGGACTAAATCAAACAGTTAGTGTAGCCATGTGCACATGCAGAAACTAGGACACACCAAGAGCAAGCACATAGACAGGCTTGTTGTCAAACTTCTTGTAGTACTTACCGAGCTTGTCGAGACCTTTCTGAATGGTGCCTTTGTACATCTCATACTTTGGTAAATCATGCTTCACCCCCCATGCAGTCTGAAGCTCCTTGATGGCAGGTATAGCACATCAGAGTGTAGGTTGTTTTTCGGATGAGAAATACTGCTGAATATTATTAGTGTCCTATAATTTAAACAATTAGTGTGTGCGATAAATGATAAGAAATGAACTTACTGCAATAATTTCTCGTGTATTGTTGATGTGCTCCCAGTTGGCACTCTTGAAAGTGAATGCAGACCAAGGTATCTTCTTGATGAGTTTTCCATTGTGTTGAATGGTCATTATTGGACCAAAGAGTTTGTCGGCAGTACTTATAAACAAGTTAATGGGCTGTGAGATAATTCAGCAAGCATTGGGAGAAAAAAAGTCTGGGATGTACATGTCTTAGTGCATTAGCATGACTGAGCATGCCGTCTGCCGTTCCCCATCTGACGTTGCTGTGCAAAGGGATCTTGAGGACCTTTTCAATGCCACTATTTCATTGCAGGGTCTCAAAGTATTCTATGCACTGCCCAGAACATTGTATCTTTGCAATAGGTCAGATTAGTTACAGTAACAAATATATAACAAATAACAAACCTTGATGGCAATAGTACAAACCTCAGCAACAATGTCCAGAGAGTTTCCAAGAACCCAATTGCTGGAATAAGTAGGGTTGAATTCCCAGATAGCAATGCTAGTCTCTACATTGGCAATGCATGTGATTGTGGACATGAGAGCAACAGCACCAAGGTTAACAATGTGAGCTAGACATGGGAGATGGTTTTGAACTGTGTCAAATGAATATATGTTTTGGTGATGGAGGATGGTCTCAATTGTGGAACATGTGGTGTCATTGTTTGAGGTATTATCTGCTGAGCTTGTGAGCAAACACTATACTATAAATGAATCTATCATTGCACACCTTGGATGACTGACCCACCACAATCCCAGCATGCTCACATAAACCAATGAAGTAACACCCAAAATTGTCCCCACTATGAGCCCCTGAGATGCCTTTGAATGCGATAACTTGCACCCGAAGAGTCCATCTACCAGTTGCATTGTCCACCTCAATCCAGTGTGCAGTAAGTCCAAAAAATGCAGCCTTGGTTTGGTCAATGGACCAGAGGTCTGTTGTTGTTGAGACGCAACCACTGTTGGCAGACTTGAGTTAGTCAGTAGCTAGTACTAGTGCACTATGATAATAAAAATCATTTACCTGAATATCAGACTTTAATTGCACAAAGAAATCCAGGAAAGCATTGTGAATGTAAGTTGTAATGTCATGTGCTGAGGGAATATTGGCCTTCATAGCAGCTGACCGCATTGCAACTAAACAGTTCCTAAAGGTGGCCTTGTTTGCCACAGCCAAAGACTGTTGAGTCAGCATTGTAGTTCAGTAATCGATCAATATCAATGGCTAATTAGCAATCAGTGCTCACCTGATCATCACAAACCACAAATTTTGCAACCGCATGCAGGACATCCTCTCTTGAAAACTGGCGTAACTTTGAGGCCTTCAGAAACATTCCATCTAGCTTCTTCTGAACATTCTTCTTCTTTGCTTCTTCCTGGGCTTGTGCCAATGCTCATGGAAGTGCATGATGGTTCTTGTGTATCCCCAATTCTGCACACTTTTTCTTGTATACATGGTAGTGGCTTCAGATACACTGACGGCAAGATGAATTACTGCCAACATGAAACATTTTCTGTTTGCCATTTTCTGCAATGAATTGCGCATCTTCCCTTAACACTGCAGGTGAGTATTCTAATATTTCTCAGAGTCAATATACTAATTTGCATATATTGCATCAGCGCCCCCGCTTTGTCTCCACCTTGCTGTTTGTTCCAATAAACTTGACAGTACATGCATTTGAGAATATAGTGAGTAGATCATTGGTGCTACTTTTCTTTGTCTTTATTTCTTTGGGGAGTGTGGCACGATGGACATCTTCAAGATCAATACCATTGGTGTCCTTTTTTCAGTTCATCTTGAGCTAATATCATTATATTCAGAACGAAAAACTAACCTCGTCACAGTCCCCATTTTCTTCAACTGTCTCCCCAGTGCTATCGACCGTTCTACACTCATCCACTATGTTGATGGTCTCCCAGGGCCGTATGTCTTCCTCAACTTCGACAACAACATCTATGGAGCGCCGTGCATGTTTAGTTGCTACCTTCTTCAAGGTACATTGTGCCTGTATGATTCTATCATCTGACTCTATGTCTGATCCATCCTCGCTACTGGTTATAGCCTTTCTCTTTCCTGTCTTCTTCAATGATGGCTTTGACTTTGGTGGACAAGCTCATGTAGTTTTCGTATTATGAGAATGTGATACATTGGGTGCCGCACTGGCCTTTTCGGTCGGTCTTATGACACGACTGGATTTTCAATGGCCTGACATGATGATAGAGGGAGGATGGCACTGGTAGACTCAGTTTAGTGACTATGTAGGCTACAACACATGTTAAATGCATGTAGTAGGTACTATAACATTGACTCAACATCAGTTCAAACCAGTCTCTACTAGTCTTAGACCGGTCGCAAAATCATACAACTGCAACAGCAACCGGTCTTCACAAGTCCAGTTCAAGGTCCAACTATAATGTCATTTTTTAAGACTGGTTGCAGTCCAGTTGCATCAAAATTACCATACTTAGTAATGCAATATGGTTTACAACTTTGCGAGACTGTTAAGGTCGTGCTCAAGGGAGAGGTTACTCAAAGGGCTTCGGCTTCAGCTTGTGCACTGCACCCCTTACCTGAGTACGTGCCCTTTAATTTCCAGGGGACAGAGGGGAAGTCCGATGGAAGTCCGGGGAGTTCCAGAGGACTTAGTGTTGGCGGAGTTTGGTGGAACTCTGGAAGGTTTATACGGGGGACGAAGTCAGGCTACTATGGAAGTCCGGAGTAGAAACTGAACAGAGGTTAGACTACCCTAAGGTAGAGCCGGAGAAGTAGTCCTAAGGTTTAACCCCTAAGACTCAGAGGTGGACAAGAGGTGAGATTCAAGTCCGGAGATTGCAGGAATGAGCAGAACTAAGATGATATTTGAACTGAGGAGTTCCGGAGTATTACAGGGGTTTATATACTGTAGGTATTATGTAGGTAAATCAGTCAGCAAAGGTAAGGGCTATGTACGAAGCATGTGGAAAGTCTATTACTAAGTACAATGGATCAAAGCAGTGAAGTTGGAAATGAAGTAAGAATGGACAGATCAGTAAGCATAGCAGAATAGGACATAACCGGTAACTGGAGCAATAGTTAATCTAAAAGGAGTTAGGGGTGAGTGCGGAGATGAAGGCGGAGCGCTGGGCGTAATAGTAAGACGGAGGAACAGACTTCAATGAAGTAGATCCGGAATTCCGGATCCGGAGGTACGGGATATGACAGAGACACTTATTTCAACAATTCTGATAGTATCAACAGAAACAGCGCTGAGGTTAACACAGACTCACTCTATCACATCAGACAACAGCAGCAACACTATCACCAATAAAAACTGTTTTAACGTGAGTCTACCCTCAGAGCTAGTAGCAAAACCACAACCCTATAGAACAGGTTTAATACCTATCCCGTCACAATTATGACTGCACTACCTAGCACAAGAAAAGTTGAAACTTTGGTTCCCCTCAGAGACTAGGATAGCGAGAGATCGAGATGGAAGGTTCCTGGAAATTACTGATGAAGATCTGGAGAGGGTATTATCAGTGATGAATTTATCATGGGCACCCAGTACAAGAGAGTGCTATGGAGCAGGCCTCTTGGTATTTCATGTCTTCTGTGATGAAAGAACCATCCCAGAAGAACAACGCTGTCCAGTGGATACGCGGACCGTGTTGAATTTTGTATCAAGCTGTGCTGGGTCATATTCAGGGAAGACCTTAGCAAACTACATCTACGCAGTAAAGGCATGGCATACCCTACATGGCCAGCCATGGAATGTTCATCAGGAGGAATTGAAAGCAGTCTTGGATGGAGCCACAGAGCTCACTCCAGATACCTCAAAGTGCACCAAATGTGAACCATTCACTCCGAAGTTCATTCTCAAAATTCATTCTCAACTCAATCTATCAGCCCCACTAGATGCTGCAGTATACGCCTGCCTCACGAGTTCCTTCTATGTGCTTTGTCACCTAGGAGAACTCAACATTAAAGTAATGAAAGCTTTTGATCCAAAAAAGCACATCAAATGTTCGGATGTCACAATAGATGTACAGGATAGACATGGACTTCGGGTAACCAAAATCTTCCTACCTTATACCAAGACTTCTGCGCTCGGTGAAGGAGTATACTGGGCACATCAAGAGAACCACACAGACCCCAAAACTGCCCTACTTAACCATTTCATGATCAATGATCCACCTCCTAACAGTCATTTATTTGCCTGGAGACACACCGAAGGCCTGAGACCCTTGACCAGGACGGAATTCTGGAAACGGATTAGTGGCATAGTAAAGAGAGCAGGATTAGGTGACCTGAAAGGCCACAGCCTACACATAGGAGGAACCCTCGAATATCTGCTGTGCGGAATCCCATTCGATGTAGTGAAATTGATGGGATGATGGCCAAGTGAAGCCTTTACGCTTTACCTGTGTGAACACGTGTTAATATTAGTGCCATACTTACAAGGGTCACCGGTGCTACATCCCTTCATTTGTTATACCATGCCTGCAGCACATTAGAAAGGTAAGCCTATTCACTATGCCCTTCTCCTTTGAACACAGGAGTCCATGCTGCGCCTGATGCATTGCAGGGCTCCTGCTCTATCATTTGGGAATCACGGCTCATCATGGACTTTCTCCACAGGATCGAAACGATGTTTTGGGTCGCAAACCCTTCAGGTTTGAGCCCAAATAGCCTCACATTACCTTTGATACTATTTGTACCGAATCAGATGTCATTCCCGACCAATAGAATCTGATTCCTTGCTTGCTAACACGAAAAGTGTACAGTTACACATAGAACGGGTATATATAATTGGCAGCGTCAGAAATGTCAACATGTCATGTGATGTCTGAATTTAGTAATTTTGGTGATGACGTTGAGGGGTTGATTTCTGACAGGGCGATCCTTCCTCGCATCTAAATTGACGACCCATGCACCATGTCTACTCTGGCTGGTGCAAATATCGTGATATCGTGTCATTGAATCATTATCAGGGTACTGCGAGACTTTTGCAAGAAGATACTAGTAATACTGCAATCTAAAGTTTGTATTTCTCAAGCACATGCCATTCATCGTTGGTACTAGGTCGGATCGTCACGCTTGACTCTGCACCTATAATCTCCGCCTCCGCATCACCTCTTTGTTTTAATTGTTTTCTGCCCACAAGGGGCCCTTCTGGTTCTCCGTAATGTACGCATAGACCTGTGTCCAATCCCGGCATACATGCGTCACACCCAAGCCATCTGTGCTTGTCATCGTTCCATCGGTGTTGACAAAGAGTGGGTCTAGGGTAGTATCAGAATTGCAAAGAATGGCCTGCCGCAAGAAGTTGAGGCAATGACCACTATGGTCATCAGGCCCGTGAATGAGGGCGAGCCGGATCATTTGCAGACAATGAATCTGGTGAAACATCGATATACCAAATATCCGCCCTGACAGAATTTGGCAACGGTGAGCGTCTGACACGCATCGACAAAAACGGGGCGATGGTAATTTACCGTTTGGTCCAAGGCGCACAAATCCGTGGCCTCGTGGAAAAAGATCAAGTGATTTCCACTCCAACCAGGCCATGAACCCTGATGTGCTGTAATGTTCTGTGCTATTGAACGTCAACGCGACGGTGTCTAGGTGAAGGGGTAATTCGGTCGGATGATCGTCGTCGATGTAAGCTGCATCAAATATGTTGGGTGAGATTGAACTACCGTGTCTGCCAGTGAAGACGACAACAACATACTGTACTTTCTGCCATCGACCGATGTATGTTTCAAGCGCAGGATGGTGAGGATGTTCAATAAAATACTAATGGCGAGAGCACTAGGCCCAAATACGCGCAGTATTCCCGAGGATCGAAGTTTGAGACTGTGAAGCATCGAGTTTGGCGCTGAATGTGATCTGAAGAAAGTTTGAGTCACTGCACAGTACAAAAGATATCTGTGACAAGTCACCAGAAACCGAATTCCACCACTAATATTGGGAATTATAACTCGAGTGGTAGGGACAACAAATAATAATCGCCGCCGAGTTGTATTTAGTAACCCTGTTATCAACCTGATCTTTGAACGTACCTTGTTCATCTCGTAGATAGTAGAACACAAGCAGTGTTCTGGGAGCATATTTTGACTCTCAGAATAGTTTGAGATACTATGATGGGCAAAAAAAGATCAGCCCCGGTTGAGCGATGAGCGGCCTGAGCCTCGGCAATTATTGTCTGTAAACAGCTATACTTAAACTTGATTGTTCTGCCGGCGACGAGTTAGTAGGAGTTAGTGTTGCCGCGAAGCGAATCGAAGTGGAAATAGGTGGAAATTGGATGGCAAACTACTACTATGTAAGAGTATGTAAGTAGATACGAAGTTTAACTGTTTGGTCGAACCCTGTTCTATTTGGTGCCTTAAATAATTCGATACAACGGATCGGGGTCCCACGTGCTAAGTTACTTCATCGACAACAAAGCTAAGTATGTACTATATATATGTACTTTGGCATAGTACACCATAGTACATCGAAGATTGACCGTAAGGTAAACGTGACAAGTATGTATCTACGAAATAGGTATCTCCTTTAATCTATCCCATCTCCATGAGGTCGAAAGC